ATATATATATATATATATATATACATATATATTTTAATAATGGTTATTATTATAATTATTTGTAGTATATAAAAAATATGTGTAATTTCCATTCCTATTTACTTTTATTTACAAGCGATTTATTATGTTTATTCCGTTTAGAATTATGATAAAGGTAAGAGTGTACACGCAAGCTGTTGCTATTTTTATATTTATTACCACAAAGCTTACATGTAAGACTTTCCAGTGGACCATGAATATAACGAACATGTAATTTTAAATTTTCTCTACGCGTAAAGTTACGAAGACACTTAGGACATGAATAAACCTGCACTAATTTACCCTTTTCCATGTGAAATGTTGGTTTTATTTCTGAGACTAGACGCAATATTGTTTCTGGGGATAACGCATTATTACGATTACCTTTGTTATATTTACGCTTTTTGCCACAATTAGCTGGGTCATATCTCAAGTTTTTATGTTCTTCAATCACCATATTAGTCAGACCTAGTACATTTATACATATACATTAGACACATGTAAAAGTAACAATATTACGTAACAATCTACAAGATTTTGTTAATTCAAAAGGAAAATTTATTAAATCAATTATGAATTTAATTATTCTTAAATGTACAGTAAAAATTTTAGAATTAATATACAGTCAAGATATTAAATACTTTTTCTTTTTTTTACAATAGGCAAAAAATAATAGAATTATTGCACATAGAAATTTTGTACTAATAATTATATTCATTGCATTAATGATATACACCAAGTTGAAACACGTACCAAAAGATTTTTCAGCAGATTTTAATTGCGTATCTGATTCTGAATCTGTAACATTAAATGAAATTACTTTCAAGCATCCAATTCATTTATCACAATTCAAATAAATTATATATAATATCAAGTTGAATTGCAGCATAATCGTAAATATTTTTATTTTGTTACCTGATTTTTGTATATTCTCATTATATAGCGTATCTGATTTATACATCGCTTTTACATCCGTATCATCAGCCATATAATCAGAGGATTCATATGTCATTTCTTCCAGGTGATTTATGTTAGAAGTATAGTCGAAAGGTTCCTTTGCAGTTTGATCGTTATACGATTCAATAAATAATGTTTTTTCAGAATTACAATCCGTATTAGAAATAACATTTTTTGAATATGGAATTTCATTAGTTTCATTTGTTTCCATAATACTTAAATTGTTTACTACAGAATCCGAGGAAGGAAGAATAGTATTTTCATTTTGTATCTCTTTATCGTTCAAAGATTCTGTTAATTTATTGCACGGATAAACATCTTCATAATCACAATCTAATTTCTCATCGTTATCATCCAACGTTTTGTCCTTTTTCTAAAACCAAGGAACAATAAGTTTATTGATATGATATTTAACCCATTTTAATATAATAACAGGTGAGACTCATTATACACTTTATGACCCAAACATAAGAAACATGGGTCCTACTCGTGGCAAATCTTATAGGTCAAATATAAAAAGCAAAAAGTATAGCACCAAATGTCATACAACCCAGCATGTTAAATCATAGTGCAAGAGATTAATAAGGGTAACAACGTACCTCCTTTCTTTCTGTAGTTAATCCTTTTATTTGTAATATTTCAGCTACTTTTAAAAAATTACTAATATCCTCTTGCTTAATACTAACTTCTCCTTGATACATGAATTGAAGTATGGCAAATAAGTCACGATAATTGACATCTTTTAATATTACAATTGGATGTTTACAAGAATTTTCCTACGATATAAATATATTATCACAAGTATATAAGAAACTATATTAATAGTAATCAATATAGGAAAACTTTTGTTATTAATATTTGTTTAATTATGATTTACCTTAAAAAGTCTATTGAAGTAACTACTACAAACTGATAATATCAATTTATGTGCTCTTAAAATTTGTCCTTCGGCTGTCAAAGTTACATCGACAAGCTGTTCGTCAATTAATAAAGTATATAAACCGGAAGACAAATTTCTTGGAAAACTATTCCATATTAAAGAAAATTGTTCTCCAGACATCGTTGCTGTAATAAAATAAAAACGAGATAAACAAATACATTTTTTAAAATAATGTAGGTTATTTGTAATTTACAAATGAAATTTACAAATGAAATTTACAAATGAAAACAAACAGAGTATTATGTAATATAATTAATAGAATATAAATATTTTTAAAAGATAATATTATATTAAAAAATAAAGGAAATACCTTAATAAAATAACCTACAGAGAATATATACAGTATTTACTTTGTATACTTCTTCTCCTTCTATGCATGTATATATGTAAATATATCATGTATCATGTAAATATGTTTATGCATATGTGCATGTATGATTAAAACATATGACAATTATAAAAACATGTGATATTACAATAAACAAATTTTTATTTACTTTAAATATTCTTAAGAGAATTTAAAAGTATATTTGCAATTTGATTTATTGTTAACCCTAAAGTAAAATGTGATATAGGAAGACTAAATTGTATCATGCAATGAAGTGCAAGTACGGTGGTTATACGCTACTTGATGCGCCAATTTTATTCGCGCTAAATTTAAATTGAATATATGAATTGTAAAATTGTTAAAGTAAAATAAGTTATATTTTACATTCCGTAATTCATAAATTATTTGATCATAAAACAATAAAAAATATACAAATATTTAAACAAAAGTAGAATTATAAATTGAATTATGTAAATTATATTTGTGTGTGAACCAATGATTATCTTATAATATTTTATTAATTTAAAAAATGTTCGCATTAACATTTTTATATGACGTATTAATGTATTTTATAATAGTTCAATAAAAAAGAAAGGAGTATTTTTATAACATGAAAATATTAATACAATATATCATTTATAAAAATTTATTTATATTTGAAAGTATAATCTTTAATAAGTCGAAGCATTTTTGACTATTACATATTTACATGAATTACAATGATTTAGTCTTGACATAACTATATCGACAAAATAATGAAGCCATTAACTTATCTAATTAACATCGAACTCATTGTTTAATATATATGTTTGTAAGTATGCATAATAATTAAAGAAAATTCTATCAAATTAAAAACAACACTACTAATACATAGTTTAACGATAATATAACTGTATTTTATATAAGTAAATTTTGGAAAAATTTACGGATTGCAATATGAGCGATAAATATTACTTTTTATACTGTTAAAATACGTTGTGTCATTTTTTTTACATGTATGAACATCCATATAGAATTGTACCATGTCTAGAGATTATTTATTGTATTTTTTTTTTTTCTATATCAGTTGGTCATATAAAATTTGAAAAGATTCAATCTTTCAAAGGCAGATTGTTTTTCATTATAAATTCTTAATATAATAAATTATGTAAATTCTACTAATATAATAACTTATTCAACTTTGATTAATAATAATTTTCTAAAAATTCGTATAGAATAATACTTCGCCAGAGAATATGTTTATGTATACATATATTATTCACATACTTAACACGATAATTTGGAAATCTCCACAAATGATTTTCTACAATGACGACGTAGTGACCAGAATAATTTTTGATCAGAATGATATACATTGATTATGATTTATCACTTTCATCGCTAAACCTTTTTTTTTTTTAATAATTTTCATTATTACTTTAAAATCTATCATCACTGGGGTATACTATGGTGAGACGATTGATGTTATACAACTTAACATTGTGTTGATTTTTAAATTTAAATGCTATATTTCCAGATTAACGTAATAATACGTACAAGTTTTTTTTTATTAAATCCTATTATTCTGTACACAGCTGTTGGTTGCTAGTAACAAAATAAAAATAATAATAAATGAAATACATGATCCTTAGATATTAAAGATTTTTAAAATATGAGAACTAGTTGTGCACAAAAATATTATGCAGTTAACCACTTGCGCTGGAAAGACGTGCCACGTACGTCGTAATGCTTTTGTCACAGAATCGCCAACAACGTGGGTATGTACGTAGTTATAAGATTATCACAGGAACAAAAACGACGTGCATGGCACGCGTCGGTGAATTTTTTTTTCCCAGTGCAAGTGGTTAAACACACAAATGATACTTAATTTAATATACTGAAGAATATTAAAAAACGTTTTCTTTTTTGTTCTTTTCTATTTTTTTTTCTCTTTTTTTTTTTTAAGCGGGGTTTGTTTGTAAGGGAAAGAGAATGGAGAAAAGGAGAATGAGAAAGAGGAGAAGGAGTAGAAGGATATCAGCATAGTTATTGTAATGCTACCAAAAAATGTACATTTTAAGTGGTCTGATTCATTTGAGATCATATTCCCCGCCGAGGTGCAGTTGGGACCAATAATTGAATAGCAGTCATAGCATCTGGGAAGAGAGAGTGGTAATTTACAACTGGTACATAAGCAGCAGTTATAACACGACCAGCAAACCACCGGCCGTGTAATGAATTGACTGCAGCAACTGCCGTTGCTATCGATGGACATTTAACATAAACATTTCCTTGTGGAGAAGCTTGATCCACATATACGTGTAGAACACCGCCATGTTTATTACATTCTTCTATTACATCATCACGTATTTCTTTTGCCCAATTTGGATTTGTTTCACTGTAACAGAAACATATTGCATTAGATTTTTTTTTTTTTTTTTTTTTTTTTTTTTTTTTTATACATAATGATTAAAAAATGAAATAGATACATTCACGTTTATTTAAAAGTTTTAATGTTAGATAACCATTCTATCACTGACATTTATTATATTTATGTAGCGATATAAAAATGGTATATTTATTTAATCTTGCATATCTGTTCCTCCAGTAAAAGTAAGTGCTCCAACTGGATCTACTTATGTATGCTTCATGTAATATTATTAAATAACGTTAACTTATTTTTGTCTTTATTCTTAAACTTCTATAAATATTTCGTGTATTAATCAATGTATAAAGTCATAAAATATATTTACTTTTGTGGATCAAACATGTTTGATAGCATGAAACATTGTGTGGCTATTGGTGGTGCAGCTTGCGGTGGTGGTGGTGGAGCAGAGATAACAGGTGCCATATTTAATGCATTAGCTGCTGCTGGAGGTATTTCAAGACCAGTACCCTCGGCCAATTTGAACATTAATTGTAATCTATAAAATGAACGATGGATAATTTAATTAAATAATGTAATGCATATATATTTTTGTTTCACTATAAATTTACCTGCCAGTTGCACCAAGATCAATACCACTTCGATCTAATTCATCAGTATCTAAAAGTGAGGGACCTTGAATTAAATCAGTGCGTTCTGTTACATTTCCAACTTTCATTGGTCTACCAGCTAGCTCAAAACCATTTAATTGCTCTAATGCTTTCTTAGCATCGTCCGCATTTCTAAACTGTAAATATATATGTATTAGTTGATTAATATAAATTGATATAAATTTATAATACGGTTGTATGCAAATAAAACTTACCGTTAAAAAGCCATAACCTTTACTTCTACCAGTTTCAGGATCCATGATTAATTGAATGTTATCAATTTTTCCAAACGGTTCAAAAATCCCACGAAGCATTTCTTCTGTTATATTGAAGTGAAGAGAACCTACATATAATCTCATAGGTCCTGTTTGTCCTTTGGGCATTAAATTTGGCATAGAATTACCCATCCGATTTTTCTCTGCTTGAGTGTGTTGTACTACTATAGGAACGCCAAGTAACTTTTGACCTGATAATCCAAGCGCCTAAATAAAAATAATAAGAAATATATTAAAGACATTAAATAATTATTAAATCAAATAATCACAAAGAAATATCTAAACAAAAAAAATAGCTTACAAGTGTAACGCTTTCAGGATCTTTAAATTCGACATATGCAATTCCTTTGAATCGTCTCGTTTTGTTACATGTAATCAGTCTAACATCTTGAACTTTCCCAACACTAGAGAAAAATTCTTCCAAGTCACGTGCACGTATCCGTTGACTCAGTTGCATACAGAATACTGTACGAGCATCTCTTTCCTCGGGTGTCAGCTCATCGTTTCTACTAAAAACGAAAAATAATTTCTCTATCAAATAATTGTAATCTAAAGGAAACTTAAATTCTTATTTAAAACTTCAATGTATTATTCTAATTAAATACTTACATGCCAAGAGGACTAACACCTTTACCAAAAGGTGGTCGAGCTCTAGGTAATGTGATAGGTGTAAGAGACCTTTTTCTTCTTCTGTCTCTGTCTCTTCGATCTCGGTCTCGGTCTCTATCTCCATCTCTGTCTCGGTCACGATCCCGCCTGTCTCTCGATCGGGATCTCCGTCTGCGTTCACGATCCCTGTCACGATCCCTGTCACGATCCCTGTCTCTATCCCTGTCACGATCCCTGTCTCTATCCCTGTCACGATCCCTGTCTCTATCTCTGTCTCTGTCCCTGTCTCTGTCCCTGTCCCTGTCGCGATCACGGCGGTCTTTGTCTCGGCGGTCGCGAGATCGTGAACGGGAACGAGAACGATGTTTGCTTTTCCTAAAAACAGAAACATAAGAATTAGGGGGAGAGAAATATAATATGCAAACATGATCTTTAATGAGATAACATGTCTCTCTCTTTGTACAATAAATTAAATATTTAATCATTTTTATATTCTATTATTCTCTTCCAAATATTTCTTAATTTATATATTAACAAATATATGTTTAATTATCTACGAATAAAATATACAATATGATAGTAAATGACGAATTTATTTTTCATATATATATATATATATATATATGAAAATATGTACAATTTTCTGTTTATCTCTTCGCAATAAAGGATACTATGTGAATTAAAATGTAGAAAAAAAAATTGATCGTTCGAATGAAATTAAATATATGTGGTAAATTTATATATGCATATTTTCATATCTTTGAATTTAAGTTTTGTTTTTCTTTTAAGAACTTCATTATTAATAATATAATTAACTCCTTGCACTATGATTTAATACACAGAGCTATGTGTGCCATATATTCAATGCATTATTTCCTGCTTCCTATGCTTGGTCCGTAAGATTTACCACGAGTAGAATCCGTGTTTCTTATATTTGGGCTGTAAATCGTATCCACGAGTCTCATGCGTTTTTATAGTGCAAGGGGTTAAATATAATACTTTATGAATACTTTTATAAATAAAATTATTATCTTTTTGGATGGAAACATTGTATTGTTCCTACAATAAAACTGATTCGATTTGTCTTAAATATTTATTTTTTTTTGTTTTCTTTCTTTTTTTCTTTTAGTTCAAATACAAATGACCACTTACTGTAAATAAATTTATCTTCAATTATTCTTGGTCCTATGTACTTACCATTTAGAAGACTAACCTTTGGAATTATCAAAATAACCGCATTTACACTAATTGAATGGATTCTATAACAAAGAGAATATAACTTCAAATGGCCATTGCTAAGATAAGTTTATATTCATCTTTAATATTGCATTAATTAAACTTGTGATCTGTTGAATAATTTGTGTCGAAAAGAATACTTTGTTTTTTTTTTTTTTTTTTTTTTTTTTTTCACTTTTACTATAATAATTTTTAAAAGAGAACCTATTCATTTTTACATGCTGTATAAAAACTTATATTATTAAGATGTGCTAATTGGCCATCTTAAAAAAAATTGATGTTAAAAGTAACATAGATATGTAAAAGAAAATACTTTTTACTATACCTTAGATACAAAGTATTTAAGAAAATTAGTATAAAAGTAAAAATGATGGTAACAATGATAATAATAATAATGATAATAATAGTAATGATGAAAAAGATATTTTGTAAACTCACCCAGATGATTTGCGACTAGACTCATTTTCCTTGGAGGACTTGTCTTTGGATGAGGAGTCCTGCTCCTACGAACAGCAAACAGTTGAATGCCATGCCAGCCAGCCGATGTGGCAGGGTCGCGCGAACAAGGGGACAAAAAGCAAATCATTGAACGTTAGTAGGTTTCATAATAATAAGTTTTGTACATGTTCAACATTTTGAATTGAAACAGTAGCTATAAAAACTTAAATGTAACATTAAGTTGACTTTGCTAGTAATGGAAACGTTGATAATTCTCCCTTGAGCACGAAATTTTGCGAATATAAAGATGATTGCCGGATGGTGGTACAACTCTTGTGCTCTTTTGTCTTTTCCAGGCAGACTTTAGCGGTCTCAGGGCGGCTGAGATAGGGGAATAGCAATAGAGAACAAGAGAGACGGGGTGAGCTTAGTGTTGCGAGTCGTCGCATACACCTTACTCAGACTTACCAATAGTTTTATCGGGTTTTAGGAAAGCATTGCAATCTTGGGTTGAGCATGCCTTGGTCTTAAACTACCAATGGCCAACCACACATCCTTTTTCTTCTGTAAAAGAGAGCCCTCATCAAAGACAGTACGTTTTTAATGTAACACGTGATGTGAACCCTAATTGCTAGCCTAAAGCCCTTGCATGCTTAATATAATAGCTACTCCACGATGAAATATAATGATTAATGGTCATTCCTGCGTTACACACTTTTGTATCATATTGATATATTAATATTAAAAAGTTATTTTTTAGGTGATCAAGATATTGAAATAAAATATATATATATAACTTATAGAGACCTTCTCAATTTGAAAATAAGACCTTTGCATGTATTGTTTTTTGTTTTTTTTTTTAAATAGACGATAACAGTTTTATGAATGTGTATTTTCTGAAAATATGTTCATCTGTGCATTACTCTATCTTTTACACTTTTCATTACACACCAGTTTACCATGTGTTTATGTCTCACTGTACAAGGTAATATTATATGAAAATATTTCTAATACCAAGACCACATTACTCTATGTGTATTCACATGAGAACGCTGCTATGCCACTTTTGAAAAATGAATAGAATAAAGATATGAGTTTCAAATATATTTATATGATTATATGACCATTGAGTAGATCGTAAAGTTTAATCAAATTTCTATAAGATAGTTTTATTATGTGAATACACGATTTTTTTATTTTTATGAAATACAAAATATTGTGGTATGGTATACTGTATATATTACAGTAGTACATATATATAGTATCCTTATACAAGGAGCAATAATCAATGATAATGTGAACAATGTATATAATTTTATGAAATATTTTTATATAAAAGAAAAGAAAAAAAAAGAGATAGTAAAAGATATAAAAAAGAATTTCCATACTAATAAAATTAAGGCATATTTACTAGTATACAACAATACAATTACACCATAATGAACATATAGTTTTTGAATATTCCATTTAGTATGGTATTACTAACACAAAATATATACCTTGCTATAACTTCATTTCTTTTCATTTAATGTTAATCATTTAAATTTGACTAAAAGAAGATAACAGAGAGACAATAAAATAAGTTTTCCTCAGACACCTAAATTAAAACCGGAATAAACTTGGCATATGCTGATTTTTATAATATATATGACAAAAGATCTAATAATTTAAATAAACTATGAATGATGTTTTATACTGTAATCAACTGTTGTATGTCAATAGATAATTATGTATATGAATAATAAGAACGAATAAATTAGCAATAACGTATGAAAGTAAAGAAAAAAGAATGAACATTGAACAAAATGTGTCTCAAGGAAAATAGATATCCACCTATCGAAGTAAGAAATTGTTTCTGTACCAGTGCCTCTTCAGCATAAGTCGTATATCGCTAAGTAACCATAGTTTGTATATAAAAATCTAATATATATATAGTTATTTATAATATATTATCTATACATTTTTGGAAAAAAACAACGACAACAAAAAAATAGGTTAATATTAAATATTGTCAATATAAATATATTAATATTATTGAAAAATCATTAATATAGAATCTTCCTTCCCTGAAATGCAGTACTTGACCATAGCGATACTAGCTACATCCTAATTATTAACAAAATTATGTTTCATCAAAATAAAATAAAAGAAGTAGAGAAATGATGTTAGTGATGACTTGTCTTAATACCTCGTATTTCAAGTGCATTCTAGGAACTCGCTGCCGAACATCCTACGAGCGCGAGGGTACATGTTACGTACCATCTATAAGTACAAAAAATGGAGGTATTGATCAATAGAATAGAATCAGTCAAGGATGTACTTTGTTCTACATGTATATATTGAGAGAGGAGGAGGATATATATGTATATATATATATTTATATATATATATAGAAAGAGAGAGAGAAAGAGATTATTAATATTTTTTTTTTTTATCTTAACAGACGACGAATACGCTCAAAATACGAACGCACCGTACTGCATCAACACAATGAAATTATAGGAGAAGAACAAATCGGGAATTCGAACACAAGATAGATTGATATATGTATATATAGAAAAATAAAAGACCGTGTAGCCTCGGAATAATGTTCTCTTACCCCTTTTCTATATGGCGCTTCCAGCATCGCTTCGACATCCAATTCCTCCGCCATTGCGCGAGTTGGAGAATTTTCTGAAATTCCACGCATTAGCACACGACAAATAAATATAATAGAGACGCGAGTATCGAAATGAAAACTATAGTTTAGAATTAGAAAACGTACGGTGTTTGTTAAGATTTATATATTTTTTTATATTTATATATAGATATATATATACATATATGCGTGTCTGTGTATATATATATATATTTATTATTTAAGGGATTTCAATTTTTTTCTATTCTAATACAAAAATAAGTCCAACGCACAATATCGCGATTATACGTAAGATGGCCGAAAGAAAATGGACGCTATCGCAAGTAATGCAACTAATCGCTATTTTAACGGAAATGACGTAAACAACATGGATACGTCACAAGGATACCAACCTGAAACTATAGAATTATAAGAACGGGATCGTAGTTGAAGATTTCTTAGTATATCAACAATGCACCACTCGCGGAACTTGATTTTCATTGGCTAAGGACTATTTACTAAAAAGTGATCATTTGAATTTAATAAATTTTGAATCAATTTACATTATTCAATAAAAAATTAATGTAACTTTTAATAATAAAAATGATTAGATGAATTGAAAATAAGTGATATTTCGTTTAATCGGCTACATGAGAGATCAAATAAAAGAAATCATTTTTCGATTATTGAAATGTCCCTAGTTATTTATAGGGGAAAAATTTGAAGTATATCGTGCAGCGGCTGCCTCTACGAAGAATGTTCCCGAAATAGCATATTCTACGTCTACGGTGGATGAACAAACCGTTATAGTTGACTAAAACACTCTTTGCACAGCTTGGCGGCGATTAGTCTGTGCTTGAAGGTACTTTGGAAGCTTGTGCGCGTGTGTACTGTTGTGATCGTATTAAGTATAAGATTTGTACGCCACGAGAGCGAGTCATTCTCCCCTCCTCCCAGTGTGGTGGTGTATTCAAGACGCAATAACACGTACATTCATTTTTGAGAATACAGTGTAGTGTAAAGAAATAATCATTTTTTGTAGGACGAATTAAGATATTCTGTAAGTGCGAGAGAAGCTCGGGGAGGACGGGAAACAAGAAACGGTTATCCTTCGTGGAATGCTTCAGTAAAATGGCGGTAATCGACAGTGCAATTGGTGCTCAACGATAGAGGAAAATCGGTGCGTTCGAATTATCGACGACGTTTTCAACTTTATTTCGTATATTATACATTATAACGATAGAGAAATACGATAATAAACTCATATAAACGACGTTAAGTCAAACGAACTTATCATCAAACTGAAACATCTATTCATCGAGGGTTTCTTTTTTCCGTTATAGTTAGTTTTTTTTCCGTTCTTTCTTTCTTTCTTTCTTTCTATTTGCCCTTCTTCTTCTTCTTCTTCTGCCATCTTCTTCTTCATCATCTTCATTTTCTCCTCAATTCTTCTTTCTTCGTCGTTATTTCGAATTGAAGAGCAGTACGTCGTGAAAAAGGATAATAATATAAGGGAGGTGGTGGTAGTTGTGTGGTAATGTGGTAGTGGTAGTGGTAGTGGATGATCAGGTTAGCACCATAGGGTGCTTCAGGAGGAGGCCATTGGTTGCGGTGAAAATCTTCTTCCTCTACAGTCGTTACGAGCGCGATGCACGTGTCACATCATAATCTTTACAAGAACGTTGAAAGCGTTAAAAAAAACGAGAGAGATACGGTACGAGTAGGAGTCGGTGTCATCGACGAGATTAAAAGTTAGGTGAGAGAAGACAACGTCCTCTGATTGTGTTGTTCATTCGTTATATTATTCCTCGTTGAAAAGAGATAGAGATAGAAATATAGTGTTAGAGATCTAGTGAGAAGTGAAGAAAGAATAGAAAGAGGAACGAAGATAGATAGATAGATAGATAGATAGACAAAGGCAGACAGATAGAAAGAGAGAGCATGAGAGAAAGATAGAAAGAGAAAAAGAGAGAATGAACGAACGAGTATGTACACGAAGAAGGGGGTAGAAAAGAGGAAAGAGAGAGTACGAAATTGCTTTCCTTGTTGTCATGCGAGAGAACATCGTTACGGTCTAAAACCAAATTTTTTATAATTGGCGTTTGTCAAACGTATGATAGTCCAAAGGATGATAGTTAGATGGTTCCACTGTTTATCTTATATTTTCGTATGTTAGCTAGGTTATGACAATGTTACAGATGACTTTGCAAAATGACATGGTTCGTGATTTTACGAATAAGAATTTTCTTGATATTACGAGAAAATGTAGACGATATTAAGTATAACAAAAAAGAAACAAGATAAACAATTAATCATTGTTCGAATTTTTGCCTTGGTATCCTCTTATAACACCAACAAGCATTTAACGTTTTTTTTTTTTATAGATATAGGTGAAAGTTCGTAATTAGAAATTATATATGATGCATATATGCACTTTGTTAACAAAGTAATTTTAAGTGGTTGAATTAATTATCTACCAATTAAACGTGGGAAAGAAGTATCTTATTTGATTCTTATATTTTTAGTATATTAAGATGTACAAATCTATTTTTCTTTATTTTAGATATTAGATTTTGCAAAGATATACTAAAATGAAGATCGACAGAAGCAGATTGAAGAAGTGCACCTCGGAAGTTGTAAGTAAATTGTATTTATCTAGAATCATCTATGTGTTACTTTTAGTATTAACTTCTGTAAAGAATAGGAAAGAGTTGATTCTAAATACTTTTTTATAATGTCATGTAAATTATGTCGTAATATGATAAAAGATATCAAAATTTATTCTTACAAAAAAGGAGACAATTTATTTTGGCTGCTATAAAATATTGTCTCTGTGTATATGTATATGCACATGTGTGTGCAACACATTCATGTTTATTGGATAAAGAATCAATTATATAAATAGATGATGTAATATAATATTTATTTATAAGATAATTTCTTTTTTAAATGAAAAAGAAATTGAAGAGAAAATAACTTGTTAAAACATGTGTTGAAATGAAATTTATATTAATTTATTAATTTATTAATTTATAGCCGGCCGAGTGTCAAGCCCTCATAAGTAAATTACGTTCTTGCTCTCATGCGGAACTGTTAGAGGAGCTTAAACAAATAGATGCATGGACTTTTGGAAAATGTGAACTATTTCATTGGATCGATGTCTTGGATCTTAGCGATAGTATTTTAGAGGAAGCTACGGCAAGAAGCTCAGATAATCCATGGGAATTGGCGTGTGACTTGCCTCAAAATGCAGAGGTACATTCGATATTAGGAATAAATAATGTATTTCTTTTTTTTTTTACGAGGATAAAAATAAACATTAAACGAGTAATTTTTTGCAGGCAAAAGAATTACTTCTATGGGTTCTCCATTTTACTACATTGTTAATTGAACATTCATTTTCACGGCATCTGTACAACAGTATGGAACATCTAATAACATTATTGTCAAGTTGTGATATGCATGTGGTTCTTGGTGTATTAAATCTTTTATATATGTTCAGTAAACGCAGTAATTTTATTACTCGTTTAAATAGTGACAAACGTCAAGCTCTTCTTAGTAGACTCAATCATCTAGCGGAGGTTAGTATGATTAAGTTTTAATATACCATATAAATAATTTGTCATAATGATAATGATAATGATGATGATGATGATGATGATGATAATTACTGTAATATGATTTTCTTCAATTTATAGAGTTGGGGTGGTAAAGAAAATGGTTTTGGATTAGCAGCTTGTTGTAAGGAATTCCCAGAAAAGGTATAACATGAATTTCATGAGTCTAATATAAATAATAACATTAGTTTCAGTATTTTTAAATGCTTTACTATTATTTCATTTAGCCATTCCCACCGAGTGCTACAACGTTACATTTTGAATTCTATGCTGAAAATCCAACTGTAGCAGAAAGTGCAATTACATCAAATAGTGTAAAAAAGATTGGTCAAACAAATTATGCAACATATATACATATAGAAACTGTAGATAAACTTGATAAAACGCCAGCAGAACTAATGAATGAGTTATTAAAAGTTTATAATGTACCCCAGGATCGTCAGGTATATTTTGTTATTATCAGTACTTACAGTTTATGATTTTCAAATAATAAATTGCAAATAAATTTATTCTATTAACATTTTCAGATGGCTTTATTGACACATGTTAGACTGGCCCATAGTTTCTCAGATTATCGTAGGCGTTTGCAATGTGTTCAAGCTCGTCTTCAAGCATTATCTGTATTAGTATATAGCAATGCATTGCAAGAAAATGCACACAGTCTCTTACATGCTGGACTCCTTGAAGAATTAGTGGAATTACTTGAGTTGCCACTCCCCCATCTTGTTGAAATTCGGGCTGCAGCATTACGTACCCTAACTAGTATTATACATTTAGATCGTAATCCACATTTTCCAAAGTATGTATTAATTTCATGAATATTTTCATAATAACAAAAAAATATACATTTGTATATTTTTACAAGTTATGCATATTTCATATCCTTTTTTATTTTTATAGAAAACCTGGTTCAAGATTAAATATGATCATTGATGTGACCGGCGCCAGTTCATATCATGGCTTTTTACCGGTTCTTATTCGCACTTGCATAACAACATTAACATCACCACAAGCAGATGGACAGCCATTTCCATTGCCACTGGCAACAGCTCTATTCAGCTTTTTATTTCATCTTGCTAGTTACGAAGCAGGAGCAGAAGCTCTTGTTAGTTGTGGTATGATGGAAAGTCTTCTTAAAATAATTAATTGGCCAGGAAGTGAACTTGAACATATAACGGTATGTAAAATATAAAAGTACCTAATAATTTAAGTATTGTTTATTTAAAACATTCTTCCACAAGTGTTGTAATAAAAATCTTTTTTTAATTTTTAGTAAAGATTTTTAACATTTTTATTTACAGTTTGGTACTAGAGCTGTTCGTGTAATAGATTTGATCGCAAATATTGATATGCAAGGATTTCAAGCTCATGGTGGTTTGGGTAGCTTTATTAATCGACTTGATATGGAAGTTAATGTATGCAGAAAAGAACAACCATTTGAAATAGAACCACAACTTTATGAAGAAAATCCACAAACTGTACAAGAAAGACCTATAGACAGAGAAGGAGAAACTTCGTCACGTCGGATAAATGATACATTTGAGGAACGTGATGAATCTTTAAATCCAATGGAAATTTCAGAAGATGAAAATATGAGTAATAAAGCAGATGAGAAAAATGAACAATTGCCCGATTATTCCGCTGCAAAGACTGGAAAGACTTGTTTATTACAACGTGCTGCGCTTTTAAAATCTATGTTAAATTTTCTTAAAAAAGCTATTCAAGATGCAGCTTTCTCTGATAGTATCCGACATGTTATGGAAGGGACTTTACCATCATCTCTGAGACATATTATAAGCAATTCTGAATATTATGGTCCTTCATTGTTTTTACTTGCTACCGATGTTGTAACAGTGTACGTTTTCCAAGAACCATCATTACTGTCATCATTACAAGATAATGGTTTAACAGATGTTGTATTACATGCTCTTCTTATTAAAGAAGTAAGTGCTTCTTGTATTTATAAATGATTTTTATTGAACGCGATAAATGTAATGAAGTTATTCATATTGAAATTTGTAAATATAAATGTATAATGATCTTTTTATATTTAGGTACCAGCAACTAGAGAAGTGTTGGGATCATTACCCAATGTATTTAGTGCACTTTGTTTGAATCAACGTGGTCTTGAGTCATTTGTCAAACGCCGTCCCTTTGAACGATTATTCAAAGTACTTCTCTCACCAGTTTATTTATCAGCTATGCGGAGGCGTAAAAGCGCCGATCCACTTGGTGATACAGCTTCTAATTTAGGTAATGCTATGGATGAATTAATGAGACATCAGCCAAGCTTAAAGGTTGATGCTATTTCTGCAATTATTAAGGTACATTATTACTATTATCATATCATTATAATAAAGATAAATATATTATATAAATGATAATGCATTTTAATATAAAACATTTGATATACATAGTTGCTGGAAGAACTTTGCGTACTTGGTTGCGATCCACGATACATATGTTGGCGGGGTGTTAGTAAATCAGATAACTCTCCGTCAAATTCTGGATGTGGAAATCGTCAATCTTCAGGCCAATCAGTTGGCGTTGGTGTCGGAGATTCGGCTGGTGGTAGCGGTGGAGGCGGAGGTAGTAGTAGTGACGAAGAAGAAGAGGATGAAGAAGAAGCTAGTACTAGCTCTCATCCTCAACGAGAAGAACAACCATCTCCATCTCCTGCACAACCTGGACCACCACCTCAACCAAGAGAAAAAACACCTATTGCTTTGGTCGATTATATTCAAAATGTTATGAAGTTTGTCGATGCAATATTGAGTAACAACTCAACGGATGATCATTGCAGAGAATTCGTTGCGCAAAAAGGACTAGTACCACTTCTTTCCATTTTAGGATTACCAAATTTGCCCGTAGATTATCCTGTTGCTCAAGCAGCTCAGGCAGTAGCTTCAGTATGCAAAAGTATTTTGGTATGTTGATTAAAAAATACATTAAAATATTAAAAATTGATAATTAATTATCAATAATTCCAATCGATTATTTATAATTTGTCATTTTTATTTATAGAACTTGGCTCATGAACCTTTGGTTCTTAAAACAGGATTGTCGCAATTAAATGAAGTTTTAAATTTATTAAAACCTCTTTGCAGTAACATGCAATCACCTGCTGGTTCTGTTTTATTACACGAATTGGCTTCAGCTCCGAATCTTGAAACTGCTTTCACAAGTGATACAGCTACTCCATTGTTGCACGCTATGAACGCAGCTCATGGATATATTGTAATGTTTGTTCACGTTTGCCGAACAAGTCAAAGCGAGATTCGAAATTTATCTATGAATCATTGGGGATCTGACCTGGGTTTAACAGTTTTAAAAGGCTTATCGAAGTTGTACATGTCTCTTGTTTGGGAAAGTACTTTATTACTTGCATTATGCAGCGAAGATATTATACCAGCTGGTTGTGACTTTGGAAAAGAAGACATGGACAAATTAATACCACCTGAATTAAGAGTAAGTTAACAGTATACTTTGGATTATTTTACTTTGGTATATTAACAAATTTGTGACACTAATGTTATTATTTTAGACGGAGGGTGAAAGTTCTACATGGTCTGGTGCTGGCTCTTCCACTGATATAGGCAGTAATGGAATGACAACTGCAATGGAAGCACTCAGCACTGATCCTCCACCTATACCCATGGAGGTAATTATAAATTGATGAACATAGAGGATAGCAAAACAAAAAAAAACATGAATATTATAACATTAAAATATTGGCAAAACTTATAGATTGATGATAAGCCAAGTACAAGTGCTGGAAGGACTTCACCTAATGCTCATCAACTAAAATTCATTAAGCCATTATTAGGCGCATCATCGAGATTAGGCAGAGCACTCGCAGAATTATTTGGTCTACTTGTTAAGGTATTGTTTAATTAATCTTTTATAAATTTAATATATATTATAATTATATATATAAATGTATATTATAATCAAATTCTTTTTAAAGCTTTGCATGGGTTCACCTATAAGGCAAAGAAGAGGACAACAAATGCCTTTGACTCCTGCTCTTCCTTCCCAAGCAGCAAGAAGTGTAGCGACTGCTTTGAATTGTTTGTTAACGCGTGGTCTGTCTTGGGAAATATTACCTCCATCGCCAATTCCAAAATTCCAATTGACCTTCTTAATATGTTCTGTGGGATTTACATCTCCAATGTTATTCGACGAAAAGAGACATCCATATCATTTAATGCTTCAAAAATTTGTCCATTTGGGTGGACAAAATGCGTTCTTCTTGTAAGTATAATCAGAATGCTGTGAATTTATAAATGTAAATATAATACAAATATTTAATAGTATAATTTTCATTTTATAATTTCAGTACTTTCCAATGGGCATTATCAGGAGGTACACAATTTCCATTAACTGAAGGATTAGAGCATCCTAATTTACCTGATGGGACTGGAGAGTTTTTAGATGCTTGGCTTATGCTTCTTGAGAAAATGGTGAATCCAAAAGCAATTTTAGATTCACCTCATGTAGTATCTTCTAAATGTACAGGAATGTATGATAGGTATGAGGTGTTCGATCCAATAAAATACCTCACAGATATTCATAAGGTAATATTAACTTAAGTTACTAACTACTTACACGTGTATACGGTTTTCCTTAAATTTTTATCGTGAAATGTTTGATTTATTATAGAAAGCATTTAAAGCTGTGATGCTTATGTGGGGTAAAAAGCCATTAAAAAATTATGGAGCTCGTATGACCGAATCTATATTATCGATCTTGCGGCATATATTACGTGGTGAAAAAATAATTAAGGTAAATGATGTAAAATATTGAAGAAGGATAATATCGATGATTGTTATATTTAAATAATAAAACTAATGATCTCAATAATTTAATAAAATCCTCAGGAACGATCTGAAAGAGAAAAAAATAACGAAAGTGTATCAGCTAGTGGTAGTGGTAACACCAGTTCTGTTAGTAGAAGTGGAACAATATCAGATAGACGAGATGAACCAGAAGCCGATGTTAATTTGGAACATTTGAGGCAATTGATGGATATGGGTTTTAGTAGAGCGCATTGCATTGAAGCTTTATTACATACAATGACTGTTGAACAAGCGACGGAATATTTACTTGCAAATCCTGCTACTTTGCGAAGACCTGTAAGATTTAGCATAATTTATTCGTTATGTATTAATTATGTATATAAAATTAAAAAGGAACAATTATTTTATTATTGTGTATGCTTATAATTAGGATGCTCCATCGAGTGATCCAAACCGTGTCGTTACTATGGAATTAGAATTAGCTGAAGATGAAGATATATCACAAGTTCTTGCTATGGCATTCGCCGGTACCGATACATTAAAAACATCAGGACCTGAAGAATCTGACAACAGAGAGACAACATTAACAGAAAGCATAGATGAATTCACTCGTAATGCTTTAGCGCAATGTCTTAACCTTTTGGATCTTATGCCTGATACAGTATATAGAATTTGTGATTTATTGGTAACCATTACTAAGCGAAATGGGGATGAGTGGCGAGATAACATGCTACGTCAATTAATACGAGAGGTAATATATATATATATATATATATATATATCTATTTAATGATAAGAATTTAAATAAATTTCTAAATTTAATATTAACAATAATTCAATAGATTGGTGACTTAGTTGATTATTTAATCGACATTACTAAAAGTCAGGATGAAAATGCTGGAACACGATTAGTAGAGTGTGAGGAAGCAAATAAAGTATCAAGACGTATTTATCTCTATACATTATTTTTCGAGGTTGGTATATAAATATATTGATTTATTGATCTTCCTTTTGTTTCCTTTCGTCTGCTTTCTTTCTTTGTTTTTTTATTATTTAAATTATTATAGGGTACTTTCCAAGAAATGCGTGTTCCTTGTGCTCGAATTGTCGAGGAGTGCGTTATGTTAGACAAACTTGTGAAACTACTTGTAATGAGCGAAGGACCGCTTACAGCTAATAAGAACAAGATCGTAAAGGAAAGTAAAGATGGAGCAGTTTGCGTGAAAACTCCTAAATGGCTTGCACCTTTATTATTGCTAATAGATCGTTTAGAAAAAGTTGGAACTCTTACAAAAAGAAAACAACTAATGCATAAGGTAGTTAGATGATACGATAAAATATAATAAAAAAAAAGCTACTTATTATATGGAAATATTTCTAATCAATTGTTTCACTAGGTTACAAATTGCATGTGGAAGTGGTTCGATTTAAGTACCGGAAAATGGACTCTTTATTCACCAATGAATAATAGAATTATTAATGAGGCATACTGGGCTGGTGAGCCCAATGTGCGTATAACATGTAGCAGACGTCGTTACTTAATAACATTTTCATGCATGACTCAAGTAAATGAGGAAAGTGACAATAGAAGACCGATTACGATGGGTTTTAACTTCAACAGTGGTACAAATGAAGATGGTGGTTCTGGTTCTGATTCTAATATGGATACCGATGATAGTCCAGTCGAAGAAAAACGTAATACTGTTGTACAAGGTTTAGATCCTAGTATAGCACCAAGTATCGTACGGTAAGTTCTAACTTTTATTTCATTTTTTTTTCAATGAATAATTTGATTAACAGAGGCATTGAAAAATATTAACGATTTATTAATAATGTTTTCAGTGCGTGTGTAAAGTTATTAGCTATCCCAGTTGATCGCGACACGCTTCACGCCTTGATGAAAGTATGTTTGCGTTTAACGAGGGATTATAAGAATGCAGAAGTATTTGCACGCGAGGGTGGTGTCAAATTGCTTCTTGAAATGACTCAGTCTAGTACCTTTATCGGATGTATCAATCTTAGTACACTTCTTATAAGACATACATTAGAAGAACCACGTATTTTACGTCTTGCTATGGAAAAGGTATTATTTGTATATTTTCCTTATTAATTAAATAATACAAAACATGTTAAATCATTTGAGATTAGTATATTTCTAATCTTATTATTCCTAATTAGGTCATACGCACGCGAACACAAAGTAATATTCCTCCTGCGTATAAAGAAATTTTGTTTATGACTCGTCAAATCAGCAGTGCGGTATGTCGCAATCCAGAAGTTTACAGAGAAGTTTGTGAAAATATTCTTAGGGTTGATATTAATGTATTAAAAAGTAAGTATTAGACTTTTTGTAATTCGAAAGATGCAAAATTGATTAGAGACGATTTTATTTATAAAAAAACATATATATTATTGTAGGGGATGACATTGATAGCAGATTAGTCGTCAAAGCTTTGCCTCCTACTCATTCTCCAGCATTACCAATGATAGAAGAAGTTTCTATTGGTGTTGTTCGCGATCTTTTGAATGCATTAATCAAACCGGTTCCTATATTACCCGATGATGGATCTGCAACACCAACTGGAAGTCCTGAAAAAAAGACAACACATTCAACCACAGCAACTGGTAATGCATCTTCCTCATCTTCAAGACGTGATGTACTCAGAAGTAATGCGATCTCTACAAACGATCCGCTTGATGATGACGATCAAGTATCACAAATAATACCTCTTAAAATATATACAGATGTGAGTAATAATGGTAAAGCTGAATCAGAAGAAGCGAAAAAGCCATTATTAGCCAAGTCTGCGATATTAAAGACATTAGCTGATGCTGTTAGATCTTACGGTGCAATAGTTAGTCTTATTACTGAACATGTGTATAGAGCAGGTCAGAGTGAATTAGTTACTGAAGATACTACAGCTCTTGCATTTCTGCTTGATAAACTTTTGCCAATGTTACCAGAAAATTCCAGTGATCGTCAATGTAATAATATGGCACGTACGCTAATAGCAGCAATAGCATCATGTAACCATTCACCGGATGTACAGACGACATTAGTAACCGAAGTAAAAGCGGCATTGACACGAACCTTAGCACTTCCAGAGAGTGGGGAAAAACATGCACAATTGCAATTATTAATTGGTTTGATTTCTACCATGATTGATAGTTGTCCGCTAACGCCACAGCTAAGAGCATCGTTAAAAATTCATCAATATAATAATGTTAATTATATTGTTAGAATTATGCTTAAGAAAGGTATCATAACCGACTTAGCTAAAATTCCACATAGTCTCGATCTTTCGAGCCCACATATGGCTGGTACTATTAATGCGGCTTTGAAACCTCTTGAAACGTTATCTCGTATAATTAACCAACCAATGCCAGGAGGTATTAATAAATTTACCAAGCCAAAAAATAGAACTGCTCATGAAGAACCGATCGGAGAACAAACTGGTACTACAACTTCGGAAACTACTCATGCTGTCGGCGAGGAAACCATCGAAGATGCAGAAAACACTGAGCATGATATTTCAGTAACAGCAGAAAGTTTAGAACCAACGTCCGAAAGTCACGTACACGAAGAAGGAGATGAAGCTGCCTTGGAAGATATCATGGATCAACTTCTTGAAAGGTAATAATATATGATTTTATTCAAATATATGAGTAGTGTTCAATTGAAAAATATATTTTATACATTTGTTATATGTGAATTACTAAGAAACCCAGATAGATAATAAATCCATTGTTGTGCAATGCTTATAATCAAGCAGTGTGCTGTTTTCCAGAGATGGTTCTACTGTGGCAGAAGAACAATCGTCTCGATCGCATAGACCGATGGATATTGATGATGAAAGTTTAGCGATGCGTGATGCTGAAGGAGATTTTGATCCAACACGTGACACCACCGTAAGAGTAACATCGCTTTTCTTTCGTTATCTCTATTATTTTATTTTCTCTACTATTTTTTAATAATTTTTAATATTATCTTTATAGGAAGATCTTATGAGCTCTGATTCAGATTCCGATAGTAATCAGTCGGATGATAACGAAGACGAAGTCCAAGACGACGAAGACGAAGAGGAAGAAGAGGAAGATGAAGGTAAGAAACACGTTAATTATTGTTTGATATGTAAGTAGATATCTATAGTTTCGATTTAATTCAATCATTTTATCAATAATAAATTTAATATAAATCTAAATTGCATTTTTTTTATTTACTTTTCTAGGCGAGGAAAATGAGGAAGAGGAGGAAGAAGAAGAAGAAGGTTCGTCAAATTATGAGGAAGATGGAATAGAATTGTATGAAGATGTTGGAGAAGGTAGTGGTGTCTTTCGTATGTTTCCCTCTGCAGAACGTGATGGTGGCAATGTTGTAATGATACAGCATAATCTTGATAATCAAGATAATGTAAATACTGTCTCGTCTACACCTATTTCAACTCGACCTGGTCTATCCTGGAATACAAGTTTCCCTCTACCACTTGGTTTATTTGAAGAACCACCTTCGTTTTCTGAAGGCAATGGCGAGTTGAAATTCTATCCGAATTCTTAATCCGCTAAATGTTTTTATTTAATGTTAATTTAAATTTTAATCTTATGTTTACGTGTTTCATTACAAAAAATATATTTATTCTGATTTTAGGAATAAGTTCACATCCAATATTAATAACTCAAGGTAGTTTTGATAGTGGAAATCCTAGAGCTCAACGAGTACTTCGACATCGCCGATACCAATATTTGCAACTATCTAATTCTCGTAATCCTAATCCTCCCGTAATATTACAAAGGTACTTTTATACTTTAGTAACCCTTTAACGAGCATTTAGTATTGTTTAATTAATTATTTTTATTTTAACAGACTTTTAGGCCCAACTTCACAGACTCTTCCTTTATCGGCCAGTCAAGTTTTAGCTTCTAGCTTTAGAGACACGCGTGTTGTTGTAATGGACAATGGCCTTGGTATATTTACAAATCAAGAAGAAGAACAAATTGACTTTGTAGTAAGATCAAACGTATATATGAAAAATACAATATTAATATGATTGATTATCTTATTAATGACATAACAAATTAATTATAGGATCAATCAGGTTACTTATTTGGGCCAAGTTTAGCTGCGACCCTAAATAACATTCCTACTGCATTACACTGGTGGATTGAAGAAAGCAAATTATTAGATGGAGATTCTCAGCCGGATTGTTGTGTTGGTGAGAATCTGTTAAAATATGGAAATGCATATATAAATTTGTAATACGTGTTTCATTATAAAATTTTATTTTCCATGGAAAAAGGTGTTGTACATAAAATGATACCTAGTCTTGAGAAACATAGAAATGCTGAATTAGCTGAAAGAAAAGAAAAACGTAAGAAGCAGCATGGTTCAGAAAGAGAAAATGAGAGAGATGGTAAAGAAGAAAAAGAAAGTCCAAAAACTATTGAATGTAAGTGGAAATAGGATGAATTAGTATGAATAACATTTTCTCCTGAAACATAAAAACATAAATAGATAATGATTTCGTATCTTCAGCTGGCCCGTCAACAACAATTCCAACAGAAGAACAAAGAAGCTTGGCATCAACGTCTCAAGGGGATGACACAATACTTGTTACAGCCACAGAAGCTACTGTCGAAACTAGAAGACAGGAATGCATACCTGATGAAGATATTATTGGTAAGCGTAAAAGCACATATCGCGTATTAAATGTAAAATAATATTATTGTGTATTTTATAGTTAAAACATTGAGTATTTGTATCATTTAATAAATGTTTATTATTATACATATTTAGATGTAACTGGAGAAATGGAAGTTACGGTACAGGATGACGAAGAAAGACCACGACCTCCTCCACCACCAGAAGAACAATCTACAGAAACAAGAGACCCACGCAATACTACTAATTGGAATCCTACATTAGAGCTTGCTGAAAGTATCGTTGATTCTGTCCTTGCTCCTTGTGCTTCTGAAGTTTCGAGGCTAAGTAAATATACTATGTTCATTGTTAGTTTGTAATATAAAGTATTCATAGTTAATAATTTTAATTGAGAATTTTATTAATATATTATTTTATCGAATAGGACAATCGGAAAATCCTACTGAAGCATCTAACGAAATGCCAGAGTGTACACCTACGCCGGTATTAGTAGATTTTAATCAAGAAGTTAATGAAGATCTCTCAAGAGAGAGTAGTGATTCGGCTGATTGGATCAGACGTTTGTTAACCGATGATAGCCCATCCGCTGTAGAGCGAAAGTAAGTAGAATTAAAGATTGATATTATATTATATTTAAAGAATGCACAATTATATTATATTTATTTTTTATATTATCTTTGATCATCGTATATACGTATTTTCTTCTTGAAAATGTTCTTGATTTATTATCTAGTGCAAATATCGTCAGCCAAGATCCAACTTCTTCTACATCAGAGAGTACACATCCAGAAACATCAAGCCAGCAACAACAATCACAACAGCCATCGCAAGAACAGCAGTTGCCAGATGGTGTGGATCCATCCTTCTTAGCTGCTTTACCAGAAGATATGCGTGATGAAGTAATAGCAGAACAATTGAGGTAGATCAAAATGAATGATTTATTAATTACATGAATATTATTAATTGAATATAAATAGTAGTAGTATCGTATATAATTTACTTTATTACGCAGATTACAGCGCATAAGACAACGCGCTCAAGCTTCGGCAGCTGAAGAACTCGCAGGACCGGTTGAAGTAAATCCAGAATTTTTAGCTGCATTACCACCAGCTATTCAAGAAGAAGTTCTTGCCCAACAAAGGTTGGAACAACAAAGACATGCGGCTGCTTCGGCAAATCCGGAAGATCCTGTCGATGCCGCAGCATTCTTTCAAAATTTACAACCTTCCTTGCGACAAGCAGTTAGTAAATTTATTACCATTTGATTAATTTTATATTAAATTAGGAAATTATTGTTATGCCATTGTTTTTTATTTGGTTTATTTTCTTATAGATCCTTACGGATATGGAAGAATCGCAAATATCTGTTCTACCTCCAGATTTAGCTCAAGAGGCGCAAAATTTGCGTAGAGAATGGGAAGCTCGTAATCGACATATGATGCAGGAGAGATTTCTTAGTCATGTTAGTCAAGGGAATAACGCTTTATCGAGCATATTGAGAAGTTCCAGTGGAGGTAATTATCTTATGTTTAATTATTAAAATTAATCTATTAAAGATTTAAAGAAATACAAAATTTCATTTTAAGAAAACTGCGTTTACTAATATTTAACCAATATAATATATTTTTAATAGGTAGAGGAGCTGGTGCGCGTTATGCCATTCATGCAGTACCACAGAGAGCTCAATGGGGATCATGGAATCCTCGAGGAGATACTGCTATAGCACATCAAGGAGCAGGATTACGTTTAAGAGGAAGGCAATTACTTGATCACGAATCGATGGCATGTTTGTTGGTCTTGCTATTTGTCGATGAACCTAAAATTAATACACTCAGACTTCACCGAGTGATAAGAAATCTTTGTTATCATGGCAGTACAAGAGAATGGGTAGTTAAAGCCTTACTTAGTATCATGGAGAGAAGTAATGACGAATCTAGAGATATACTTACAGATTTCAGTGGAAAATTCAAAAGAAAAAGTTTGCTTCCTACAACTACTTCAGATTATTGGTAAAGAAATGAATTTTGTTATTTTCATATCAGGCACATATACTTCATAAAAGTATATGAAACAGATTGAGAATGTAATTGTTTTCAGGTATCCTAAAGTACTTGAACAAAGAAATAACACACAATCCTGGTTAAATATTAGTATGGATGCTGCATTGGGTTGTAGGGCAAATGTGTTTCATATTATCAGACATGGTGGTAAAAAGTCTGAAAGGCAGGGTAGTGTAATAGCTATTCATCCACAAGCTGCACCAACAGTTTGTAGGTCGGTATAACAAACATTACCTTTTGTATTTTACAAAAAAACATATTTGTTTTTAATTTTATCTTCTCATTTTCTAGACATACCTTAGAACTTCTAATCTCCTTAGCAAAAAGTTTCCCAGGATATTTTGTGCCAATCAAATCAAAGGAATCTGAAGATAGAGATAATAATAAAGAAAAAGATCTTGGCAGTAATAAAGATGAAAGTATTTCGAAATCTAAGTCTGCATCAAAAGTAGGAAAAAGCGATATTCCTGATTTTTGGGATATGCTGTTAAAACTAGATTCTTGTGCTTCTAAGAAAGGAAAATCTGTTGCAAGAACTCACTCAAATTCTAACTTGGGTATGGATTTGGAACATACAATGACAACGTTTGAAGCATCTCCATTTGGTCAATTAATTTCAATGCTAAATTGGTCGGTTATTAAACGAAGCAGTCAATTAACTGACAAACTATTGCGACTTCTTTCTTTGATCTCCATTGGATTGACAGAAGTTAATCTATATCGTCGACAAGAAGATAATAAAAATAAAAAAACTGAATTGAATAAAGAACAGAGTGTCGCTGCACCAGAAGGACATTTGAGATTGGCTGTACAAGTATTAACCAGTAAAAGTTGTTCCGAAGAAGGCCTGGAAGATGCTACAGCATTGTTGCTTAATTTATCGCACTGTCCAGACCCAACTAGACAATTGGTATAGTATTACTAAATTTTATTATATATTATGTATAATTATTTATGAGAAATTATGTTTTCCTAATTAACCTTTCTATTGTTTCCCATTATTTCGAATAGATACTGAATTTACTCTTAGAAGGAGCAATGGAATTGGCAAATATGGTCTGTGAACACATAAATGATTTAATGACAGAACTTAAAGTTTTAAATCGCGAACTGAGCAGAAGGAATTCTCTCGAAGAACAACCATCGACTAGTTCTGGTGGAGGTGGACGTGGAATTCTTTTGGACAGGTAAGTAATTTTTCTTCACAATTCTTACATTATTAATTTTCGCTTCCTATATATTTCGAAGATTAAAATTTTTAATATTTATTTAAAGATTTACTAATGAAAATGTGATTGTAACGGCGCCAAGTAAAGTCAAAGCTGGAAGTGATCTCCAATTACCATCGATGGCTGCTCTTGTCAGTAAGACCTCTAGTCAGGCATTCTTTTTAAGAATACTTAAAGTAATTGTACAGATAAGGGAATCTGTGCGTTTAGCAAGTACAAAGAAAGCAGGTATAAATTTAATATATAATTATATTAAATTATAGTAATTTATAATTTGTTAAAATTTGCATCTTGTTTTTAACAAAGTATATTTTTTTTCTTTTATTTCCTATATTAAGCAAATCAAGCAGCAGCTGCAACAGCAGCAGCAACATCAGCAACACCATCAGCAACACCAGCAACAACATCAGCAACATCATCTACTACTGCTCCTACAACGGACACGGCAGCAACTTCCAGTCAAAATCAAGGAACAGGTGATATATTATATCAACTTATAGTTACATTAAATAGATTCCATTATTATTACTATTATTTTGTTTAGTATTAGATTATACTTTATCATGCCATGTTTCAGCAGATGATAATTCTTGTGCAGATGTTCCTATGGACACGGTGCAAAGTAGTAATGCTGTTAATTCGGAACATAACAAGACAATTACTCCACGTACTGGTAAGTTAAATAAAATTGGAATACATATGCAAGTATTGACGAATAGAAATGACATGTATATATATTTAATTTTTATTACAGATGATGAAAAATCACCACTTCCACATTTAAGCGAAAGTTTGGTGTTGGATCATTTATGGGAAACGCTTAGTGCTTGTTTATTAGAATTGGAATATACTCCAGACCATCATGCCGTCCTTGTTTTACAGGTAATATTTCAGATATCGAATTAAGAAGTTAATTTTATTTGAGAGAACATTTAAAAAAATATGATTCTTTTATATTTTATTTACAGCCTGCTGTAGAAGCATTTTTCTTAGTACACTCATCATCTACTACATCATCGCGTGACCGACATCGCAATACTACTACAGAAAATCGCGAGGTCGTACCAGACTTAGCACCAGTTTCACCTATATATTCTGATAATGAAGGCACTACTTCTCAAACGGAGACTGGTCCCACTACTTGGGATACAACTATTACAACACAAAAGACTCTACCCCCAGATCAACTTAAGTTCTTGAAATTTGCTGGTATGATTTTTATACATATTTATATATTTATATAGGTAGTTATTTATAATAAATTTTGTTTCTTTTATTTCCTATTTTTCTATATTATATTGAAATATTGTATTCTGTTATTTTAGAAACGCACAGAACAGTACTCAATCAAATTCTACGACAAACAACCACGCATTTAGCCGATGGTCCATTTTCTGTATTAGTTGATCATACAAGAGTATTAGATTTTGATGTCAAACGTAGATATTTCAGAACAGAATTAGAACGAATGGATGAAGGTATTCGTAGAGAAGAACTTGCAGTCCATGTACGTAGAAGTCATGTATTCGAAGACTCGTTTAGAGAACTCCATAGAAGAAATGCAGATGAATGGAAGAATCGCTTTTATATCGTTTTTGAAGGTAAATTAGTATTTTTTAATAATCGTAGTAGTATCAATGCACAATCTAATCGTATATAAATCATTTGTTAACCCCTTGGCATAAAAATAAAATGAAATTCGATGTCACCCTAAAATATTATATCACTTAGCTCAACTAAACAGTTGTCTAAACTTAGAAACAGAATGGAATATTATGTACATTTCTAAATATCATCAAATGAGATTGATATACAAACTTAATGAACAATAATTAAGTAACGTTCTTAAATAATAAATTAGTATCTTTCTCAGATGTCATTGTATGTCAAGGGGTTAAAGAACGTATTGAAATCATAAAGGTAACTTTTGTATTAATTTGTTAAAGGGGAAGAAGGGCAGGACGCAGGTGGTTTATTGAGAGAATGGTACGTCATTATTTCAAGAGAAATTTTCAATCCCATGTATGCTCTCTTCACTGTTAGCCCTGGAGATCGGGTTACATATATGATCAATTCATCTTCTCATTGTAATCCAAATCATTTATGTTATTATAAATTTGTTGGACGGGTTATTGGTAAGTTATGACTGTTTTATCATTCGTCTATATATTATATTTATAATTGCAGGAAAGTAATGAAGTCTTCTTTTTTTTTTTACAGCTAAAGCTATTTACGATAATAAATTGTTGGAATGTTACTTCACACGTAGTTTTTACAAACATATACTTGGAATTCTTGTAAAACATACAGATATGGAAAGCGAAGATTACAGTTTTTACAAAGGACTTGTTTATCTCACCGAACACACTATTGCTGATCTTGGTTACGAGTTAACATTCTCAACAGAAGTAAATAAATTCATATTTATATCATTTAATTTATATAAATTTATATAAATATACTTTATTTTTAAAAAATATATATTAAACTTGAAAAATGTTCTCAGGTAAATGAATTTGGTGTTAACGATGTTCGAGATTTAATACCAAATGGTCGTAACATAGTAGTTACAGAGGAAACAAAACTTGAATATATTAGGCTAGTATGTCAGATGAAAATGACTAGAGCAATTCGTAAACAGTGAGTATTATTATAAATGTAATCATTTGTATTAATGAATTTAATGATAATTTGCTTATTATATTATATTATATTTTATTATATTCTTATAGATTAACTGCGTTCCTGGAAGGCTTTTATGATATTATACCGAAGAGACTGATTTCCATATTTAATGAACAGGAACTGGAATTATTAATCAGTGGATTGCCTAATGTAGATATCGAAGATTTAAAAGCAAACACTGAATACCATAAATACAGTGCCACGTCCCTGCAGGTATATAATTAATATTCATATTTATATAGTAAGTTTGTATATTTATTACAATTCATGAATGTGTTTTAATTGAATATTTTGTTGTTTAATAGATCCAATGGTTTTGGCGTGCGTTACGAGGATTCGATCAAGCCGATAGAGCTAAATTTTTACAGTTTGTTACTGGAACTTCTAAAGTACCTTTACAAGGTTTTGCTGCATTAGAAGGAATGAATGGTGTACAAAAGTTCCAAATTCATCGGGAGGACAGATCAACGGATAGATTACCATCTGCTCATACATGGTTAGTATTCGATTATGCAATCATGTAATTTAACAAACAAAAAATAAGTCATTTATTTAATTATTTATATTAATAAACTATATTTTAATTATAGTTTCAATCAATTGGATTTGCCTGTATATGAGACATACGACAAATTACGCACGAATTTACTCAAGGCGATTCACGAATGCAGCGAAGGATTTGGATTTGCATAAAGTGTAATTTGAATACTGTTTTTACATATTATAAAACTTCATCGTAAATGTTTTGCCCTGCCTATCTACGATATATTATAGAACACAGCCCTTATAATTATTGGCTTATTATTCAAAATCGGAGATATCCTGAGCAGTCATGCTTTATCTTCGTTCAAGATCTACTGATGATAATGAGAGACGTATATAAATCAACGTATATATAATATTATAAGGTACACACGTATATATGTATATACGTATAATTATCACGATGTAATTATCAAGAATTATTTTCAATTATATATCCACTCTTGAAGTTTATTTCGTTTGAGATAAAGGATCTTGAAGAAGATGCTGAGCTTTACAATAATTTTCAAACAAACAAACAACAACAACAACAAAAAAGATAAATAAAAACGTAATATAGGAAATTTAACTAAGTTATATATGGGTAAGATTAATGTAAGATTCATATTTAAGTAGTAAGAAGTTTAATTTCTCATAAGAAAATACATAGGGTGTAAAATGTAATATATTGCACTTCAACTAATTGGCGATACGTTGTAACCGGTTCGATAGTTTATATGGAAATAATACCATGGATATCGCTGTTGAGAAAATGTAGTGTTTAAAAGAGAAATGTTGTAAGAGAGGGAGAGAGAGGGAGGGAGAGAGTGAGCAAGCAAGAGAGAACGAGAGACAGAGAGAAAGTAAGATGCATGTAAGCAAGTAAGAAATGTGTGTGAATGAGTGCGTGAATTTGCAAATAAGGGAGCGAATGTTCCAAAATCGAATGGGAATTATTGATGGAAACGATGAGCCTAACTACAAGATTTCATAATAAAAAAATGCTGTTCTGCCCCATGTAATGTATGGTTGTACACTATTAGTATTAATAATTATAACTAACTTTTAACTAATAGTAATGATCGCTAATTAATATCATTTTAATATTAATCATTCGAAATGTGATGTTAAAATCGTGTAATTTTTTTCTTGAAATCTAACGAAATAAAGTTTACAGTTGAACAGACATTAATTTGTAAACACATCGAAAAGACAATATCAATAATACGCGCAAAAAAAAATTCAATATACAGTTATGTTATTATTATCATTATTATTATTATTATTATTATTATTATTATTATTATTATCATTATTATCATTATTATTATTATTATTATTATTATTGGACTCCTTTATTGGATATTGTCAGAGAAAATTACTGCTACTAGAAATCATAGAATAAATTGAACATTGTATTTCTTCTAAAAAGAATTGTATTTTTTACTGTTTAAGGGATAACTTTTCTAATTACGTTCCTCTTATTCCGCGAAAGTTTCTAATTAAACAAGCGCATTTGTTATTCTTTAGCGCATTTTATTTCAATGATAATAATTAACTTATTAATTCGTTCAAAAATGTGGTTTTTTCAATTTGTGTAATAAATGCAAATATTATACTCTGTCGTTGGATTAAATAATATAATTCTAAAAAAAAAAAAGGCGGCCAACATGCTTTCATCAATGATTTATATTCAATAACATTATATTTTTGTATATATGTGCTCATTCGTTACTTTTTTTTTAATTAAGATCTTTAAAGGGGAGTATGGCATAGGTTTTCTTTAAATTAGATTGAAAATATGGCGAGGTAAGAATCTGAAATTAATTAAGAGAAATCCTTGAAATATTTTTCTCCAAGACCAACAAAAATTGAACCTGCATTTCAACAGCACAGCGGTGATATCTCAACAACAAGCGTTTCATTTACTCAACCAGAAAATACTCAAATACCATTCCAATTGCAAAGGTTCGTGTATTTACTTAGCTTTCTTCGCGTGTTTTTACTTATTTTTTACTTTCCTTTTGTTTATTACTAAAATTACCAGTCCAAATGCTACATATATATATATGTTACACCGTGAAAGATTGAAATTGGAGAATGTCAAGATTCACACATACCAAATATGTCGGTGAAAGATCAAATATTTAGGTTTATTCTTATATATTCCATGATTATTTAACGGTTACTTAACGAAACTTTATCCCATTTTTTAGTTAATTTTAATTTTGAAAAATAAATTATCGTTAAGTTGACGAGCTACGAATAAAATATAACATATAAGCATTTACGTTTATTATATTACTTATATGTTTTCTTTAGAGCAGTAAATAAATAAATTTTTTTGCAAAAGAACTATTAATAGCATTGATATTTTTCTTTACTTCATTTGTTACAGTGTTTCTCTATTTGTTTAAAAATAATATGTTGTTATAGTAAACTTTGATGGGAGAAAAATAATAGGAATAAACAAAAATTGTTCAATTGTTTGGAATTTTATTAGATACTTATATGAGATCTATGGTGGACATCAAGGCAGCATATCATGGAATTAAAGATTGTCGTTATGTAGATAAAACTTCATTTGTATTTGCTATTACCTCTTTTTCTTCTTCTTATATTTTTTTTTTTTTGTTTTTTTTTTTAATTTCCTACATCATTCAATAATGTAGATAATGTTACTCTCTCTTTATGAATTCGCGTTACAAACTGTTTCGAAATATGTTAACGTTAGTTTTCCTAACGTTACGATAAGTTTAAGAATAAATATATCAGTGAAATATATTACATTGGTCTCGTGCACAGTTACTTCCGGTTGAATTCAGTGCTATCTCTAATATTACATTGTTAATTTCCATTTCGAATATAACTGTATAGTGCAGGACTTCTCAAAATGTTCTACTCGGCGACTCCACTGCATGCTATCTTCTCTTTTTCTTTATCATAAATTCATAGATATATTATACTTGTAGCGTTGGCAAACCGGTTTTGAATGAATTTTCGGTAGATATACGTTCAGGAATTTTTTACTTTTGCTAAAATATCTACGAGCTTCAAAATTAGTTACGCGACTGCATAAAGGGTCTACACCTTGAGAAGCCCTAGTTTAATGTATTAGCATTGTAATATAATATTCAGAAGTAGTACATAAATTCTGTTTTCAAAGAAATTACGACGGCATCGTAATTCTTTTAATTCTTTTTTCTTACAATTATTATTATTTATCGACACTTCCAATTGTAAATTATTATTGATTGTAAACATTTGATAGAAAATTCACATATAACGTGATGTAAAATATAAGTAATCTTACTATTTATAAATCATGGAAATAACAATACAGAGTTTACAATTTGTCTAATATAAATAAACATAAATTAACAAAAATTAGAGCCTAGGATATTACGGATGTTAATTAAACAGTCATCCGAAATAACATCATCTTCTACTTCTAGTAATAATAGTTGTAGTAGTAGTAGTAGAAGAAATATAAAGTAATTTCTTTTCTTTTTTTTTTTCATAATTTATAAACTTAATAATTTATATTATAAATATCAAATATGCATATGTAAATCCAAATTCTATTTTCTACATAAAAATATTTATGAAATAAATAAAACATCTTTTACAATGTATGCAAATATAGAGAATTTTTCTTACATATACATAGGATTCTAATCTAATTACGAAATACTTTCAGATATAAGAATACAGCACATAGCTGTATAAATTTATATATATATATATATATTTATTTATAACGGATCTAAAGCACCATTTTAATGTGTATATATATTTTTTCTTTTCGTTATTTTAAGTAGCATGAATCGTATGTGTATTTAATACACATCTATGTACTGTAATACGTAGATCACATAATTCTAATAAAATACTAATAATACCAACGATTTAAATATTATTGAAAAAAGAAAAAAAATATATATATATATTATTTATCTTAATTGACGCGATTGAACAAATTTTCTCTAAGGTCATCGTATTGTCCCTTTTTTTTCTAAAAAAATATTTAAACTAATAGGAGAAAATACACTAGTTGTTTTCCAAATTATAAAGTCACAGTTAGATTCGTCGAAAAATACTGTGCTCGTTTTTAAATAAATAAAAATTAACAAGAAGTAAATGTATACATATATTTTATATGCATATTGGCTGAAATTAATATTCATTCAGCTCTGTCAACTTCTTATTAATAGGTACGCACGTAGTTACAATCTCTGTCCAGTAATATGTCATCAGCTTCTTCTCCTAAGTTGCTAACAACCTTTTAATCATAAAACGAAGACATTTTATCTTTAATATGTTATCAATTCGAATGCTTGCTTGTTTTATTTTTTTGCCGAAGAAGCTAGAAAGCTTTTACGTGAATAACATAAATAATAAAAAAAAAAAACAACAAAAAGAAAGAAACAAAATGAAAACAATATAGAACATCACAATTGTGTACGAAAGATTATAACTAAACGAGTACGAATATTTAAATTGATACAAGATTCAATAATTAACGTGCAACATGTTACATAGAAAATATTTCTACGTTTTATCGACGTTTACAATATATATAAATGTGTGTATATATATATATGTATTATATATATATATATATAAAGGAACAAATTTATTCAAACGATCGTAACGAACGCTAATTTACGAACAGAAACAAAGACGATACGAACGTTGCACAGATTATACACGAGATCGTTCAACAAAAAAAAACCTTTGATGATCTAAAGCGTAAACAATACAAGATAACAAAAGTTTTTTCATCAAAGAATAATTGTAATTTCAAATAAAATTCTCTCCTACCGATCTTATTGTTTATGATGCGAAGTTAAACTGGAGTAATTGTACGGAGAGAAAACTGAGGATGGATTGAATGATGGATGAATCTTCGCAAGAGGAGACCTTTAGCAGCTTTTTATCTTATCCGATTGGCATGTGTTGCATTCAGCGAGGAAGAAGAAAGACAGACAAGAAGAAGAAGAAGAAGAAGAAGAAGAGAGATGGAGAGAGAAAGTCTGAGTTAGAGAAAAGGCCTTCCAGATGAGATAATAACTGCGTCAAATGTGTAATCCCGGTTGTAAGGCAGTTGAACTAAAAGGTCCCAAAGGATGATGGTTGCATCATCAAGGCCGATACTAGCAAATTCGACGTTTCATTTTCCCGAGAGCACACTAGCTTCCCGGAGACAACTAGAAGACAGTCATGGCCTTGTTGCGATCAGCGACAAACGATCTCGTTAGGTCAACGATTGTGATTAGCATTGCCATTATTCACCTGCGTACCAGCTTCCGTTGCTTCGTAGTCCCCCGTTGGTTGTTGTTTTTCCATTCGACAGCTACTTTGTTTTTCCTCGAAAAGATCCGATATGCAGAATATCTAAAAAAATATACAATTTTATTATGGTTCTGTTGTGATACAAACGATACTTTTAAATCTACGTATTTGGTATTGAATCTTTGATTTTAACCCTTCTTTGCATGATTTTTTCTTTGTTTTTAAAATAAATCAGGGTGATGTAATTAATGCTCTAGATTAAAGGAAAAATATTTAAAAAAAATCCTAGTGCTATTTTTTGACAAGTGCGTTTTGTTGTACGCAATAGTCGCGCTTAAAAAGTTGCCAGCAACAACAAATATACAGTACAAGGGTTTTGAGTACCTTTTTTTGTTGACTAAATATTATGATTGAAATTTCCATCATCATGCAAAGAAGGGTTAATTAACAATGAAGACATTTGGTTTCATTGTAAATACATTAAAAAAAAAGAAGAATAAAATAAAAATCAATGAAATAAATTAGAGTTTTGGTTAACATTGGAAAGAATTTAAAAATAAAGACCTACCACAACGAGAGCAACAATAGTGCCGATAGACGAGCCGGCTAAAACATCACTCCAATGATGCTTATAATTGGAAACTCTGGACATTGCTGTAAACCACGCCATTGAAAGGCATATCAGTTGGAGTAAATGTTTCAGTAATTTGCTACCTTTCCATGTAATTCTAAGTTGTAAATAAATCTGCAAGAAAAAAAGATACAAGGAAAATGGTAAAAGATCGTATTAATCTTTTTACAAAATATGTTTATTAGGAAAGATAACCGATCTTAAGTTTCAAATAACTTACGGCAAGGTAGATCATCGTGTAAGCTGAAAAAGAAGAGTGTCCTGATGGAAAGGATAATCTGAAAAATATTATTCGTAGAAAATGTATAGAACGTTACGTGTATTTAATGCAATGCATGTGATCTAACTGTGATTGTGTGTTCGATTAATTCTAAAATTAATTTTTTTATCAAAAGAAACCAAAATTATTATCTACGAGATTATTGTCATTCAATATATTTGATTTACTTTTATACTCGATTAAAAAACTTCCTGTTATTTTGTTTTTTTTTACCTCATCTCTTTAAGTAATTTCGATGAAATTCCTTGTGCGGTGCAAGAAAAATTTTCGATATATCTGTATTGATTTTCAGGTAAAGAACAATTAACGTCTGGTACGCAGAGCGTTAGAAAATGTGGTCTCAAACGACCAATCGTGTATTTAGCAATGTCCGTTACCAAAACTGTCGTAACTGCACCAAATCCGAAAGTCCCGACCTGAAAAATATATACGTCACACATATTAAAGAATAAATCTTAATTATTATGTTAATATAATAAAGATTTTTTTTTTTCCTTTTATTATATATATTATATATATTATATATATTATAATAACTCAAATTAAAAACTTTACGCACGAATGTTCATATGCTCTTGTGTTTAATAATTTAAATATTGAAAAAGANATATATTATAATTATTATATATATTCGTATGAGTCATATTAAATAGTATCAAAGAATTGGATATTTAAAAGATTTCTAAATTAATAATTGAATATTCTTCAACGTAACGAGCCAATCAGTCAATTATAAATCTACAAACGGTGATAGAGAAGAATAAATAGAGATAGATCAGATTAAGATACAAACTAAATTGGAAATTGAAGCATTGAAAAGTGTACATTGTAAACATATTAAACATTGTCTATTAAGCTTGTCTATTGATTGAGATACGAAGATAAAAATATTGTTTACAAAAGAAAAAAGAAAAACGTTTAAATAAAAATGAATGAATCTACCTTAATGTAAGCCATCCAAAGCCAAGGTGGAATGGTGTATCCAAAAAGTACCTTCGATGATTCGGTAGAATATTTTCTTCTATATAAGTACTCACCTGCAATCATCTGCGGGTGAATAAAAAAAAGAAGGGTGTTACTTTAAGTGAACGATCAATAAGTGAGTTAACAGTAATTGCATCGCATTTAAACGGTTCCAAAATGAAATCTTTTTTAAAGACCATCGTAAAATGGATGATGGAAGAAGATCGGATGTAAGTAGCTAATACTTTTGTCTCTTTTTTCTTTATTTATTTATTTTTTTCTTTCTTTCTTTCTCTACCCTTTTGTGAATCTCCACCGATGTAAAAGGCTACATCCGTATACCTAATGTGGGTTAACCGGTCAAACTTGAAGTAAATGGTTAGACCAGGTGATACGAGCCAATGGTGTAGTAGTGATCGTGCACCAAGAATTGTTTGAATGAAATATAACTGCAGCTAGGAGAAATTTTACCTGCCTATCCAAAGACGTCGACCTCTTTCATCTTTTCTCACTCCACCCCTCCTCTCTCTCCCCTTCCCTCCCCCCTTCTACCGCACCCCTAGAGAGTAGAATAACCTGAGCCTCTATTTCTTTACACGTCACAAGAGATTAAAGGTTTCCCTATGAAGAAGACGGTAAAGTTCAGAACGACAGACAAAAATAAACCTTTCTTTTTTTTTTTTCTTTTTCTTTTCACATTCTTACAAATCTAGACATACCATCTTTTATATCCATTTCAACTATTTGAAGAATTTTATTTCATGAAAAAATGGTAAAATATTTTATTACCGTAGAAATAATAATAATAATAATTTAACTGGAAATATATAATTTATCTATTTTTATTCTTTAACCCTTCTTTGCATGATGATGGAAATTTCAATCATAATATTTAGTCAACAAAAAAAGGTACTTAAAACCCTTGTACTGTATATTTGTTGTTGCTGGCAACTTTTTAAGCGACTATTGCGTACAACAAAACGCACTTGTCAAAAAATAGCACTAGGATTTTTTAAAAATATTTTTCCTTTAATCTAGAGCATTAATTACATCACCCTGATTTATTTTAAAAACAAAGAAAAAATCATGCAAAGAAGGGTTAAACACGTGTGTTGGCGTGTATACTTTTTTTTGTTTTTTTCATTAAAATCCGTTAGCTATAAGTATAAAAAATATTTATCCGAACTTTTCAAAGAAATTGTAAAGATGCACAATTTACAGGACATTTTATGAACCTTTACAGATATTATGTCAATGTATAGTCAATTAAAAACAGATCAACTTTTGTTTAAAGTATTTTTTTGTCAGGTCATATCGCAAGTACTTGAAAAATCATGACTAGAGTTATATGGGACACCATATATATATATATATATTGTATATATATTATATTGTGGTATAAATCACTGATTTGGCAACTATCTTAACATTTTCGAGAAAAATCAAAGAAATAAATAATTATAATGATAATGGTATCAGATAAATCAGTGATTTGGGTACTATCTTAATATATTTGAGAAATAGCGATTAATACAGGTGACTCACCGTACATATAGGAAGAAGGAGACCAGTGACGTAAAGCATGGCACTCGTAACCGTAGACGAATGATATGGATGCATCAATGATTCATCGTTGCAGAAAAACCCACGTTTGTATGGCTTACCAAAGAAGAAGAACATTAAAACCGCTAGGCCAACTATAACAAAAAAATTCCATAAAGATATAAAAAATGTTAGGAAAACTATCGTTAACAAATGTGGACTTTGTTTTAGAAAATTTTTGGATTTCATATATTATAATTATTATACTTTGCTTTCTAATTTTTCTTTTCTCAGCTTTTTTTTTTTTCTTGGTTACACTTGCAACAAGTTTCACCTGATATATTTCCAGGTAAGAAATTTGCATTGGTTTAATCATTATGTCAGTTTGTAACGATCTGCATACATCAGCATCCTCGGTTATTACCTGGTATGGTAATTATGGTCAAAGAAAAAGATACAAAATGAGAAATAAACGTTGCGAAATTATGGTCCCCGATCGAATGGTTTTGCATGAGACACGCATATATTTATGGGGTTGGTAATATTCGTACTACGTAGTCGTACGAGAATCGACTATGTAATTTTAAGTTATAACTGCGAGGGAAAAAAAAAAAAGAAAATTTTTAAAATAAATAAAAATAACTGGAGATATATAAGTAGTTATGTTATTTGCATAATCAGCATATGACGAAGTTGTTAAATATATAAATTCTTTTAACTGCGTAATACACCTCACTTTTCGTTTTAACTAAGATGAAATTAAAAAACAAAAAACACATTACGAAATGATTAATTGTTATTGGATATTTATTCGTTGTTGTTGACATTTCCTCGTTGGTTAGTAGAATTTTCTACGCGCTTTTAATTCTCGTTTTACATTTAATATCATTTTCAGAATGATATAATTTATTACATCTAACGAACGTGACAAATTTATATTCGCTACGATATTATTATGTATAAAAATAAAAAAAAAAATAAAAAGGAATGTTTAATTTTTATGACCGCAACTATCATCAAACGAGAAGATAAGAAAACACAAATTGTAAAATTGTCATCGAATGTATGAAACAATTGTCTCTTACAAACAAACAAAACATAATATATAAATAATAATAGAAAAAAATAATAGAAAAAGAATTTTTAAACTTTATCCTTTTAAAATATATAAGACAATTTGTTTCATTAGAAAAAAAATTAATAATTTTGTAAAAAGAAAAATAAAAAAGAAAAATTATGATGTATATCTATCTGTCTTCCCATAATAGGAAAAAGCCGTACCCATAATGTAATGCTATCGATAACGCGATAGAAATAACATTATACGTCATCTTTCATCGCCTACTTCTTCTTTTTATTCTTCTTCTTCTTCTTCTTCTTCTTATATCTTTATCATATACCAGTTTAACAGGAGAAACAAGTACAATAAATAATCGTAGAGTAAAAAAGGAAGAAACAGAGAGAGAGAGAGAGAGAGAGAGGTTTAAATGTAATAGAGTGCATAATACGGTAGTCGGTAAACATAAATTAGATCATACAAATTAGCAATAAAATTCTAATAAGAATTGTCAATGAAACGTTCAAATTTTACGAGCCAACTAATGTGTTTCTCGGATTCCAATGAATTGACTCTCTTATTTCTCTTTCCTTTTATACTTTCTTTCTTTCTTTTTCCTTTTTTTTCTTGTTCTTTTCTGAAAGGGTCGAGCAGGTTCTCGTCATCCATCCTAACGACGTCTCAAAAGGGAGAGATGATCATTGTGTGTGAGTTCAGTAAAGAAATAAGCGTTTAACGCGTATACCATTGATGAATAGTGTGAACTCGGTAGGATCTTCATTGTAAATGCTGGTCTGCTTTAATTTACACAGTTATAGTCAAACTCTAAGATTATCTCTTATTAAATCTCTCTCTCTTTCTCTCTCTATCTTTTATGAACGATTTGCAAGTACAATTTGTTGTGTACATATTATAAATTATCATTAATATTCTACACAATATCTGACTTCGCGATCTAAATCTTGACACGTATAACACAGTTACGTTAATAATATTACAAATTATAATATTGATATATTGAATTTTGATAAGTTTATATTGAATTAATTAAAATAATATAAATAATATAATTAAAAAAAAAGTAGCCCTCCAAATCCGAAAGGGACGGAGTATAAATAAATAATAATAATAATTAAAGTAAAAATTGTTTTTTTAATTATATATTTTGTAAACTTACGTTTCGATTAGATTCAGTTTCATTTGCATATATTTTATATGACAACGCGTTGTGTAAATAATTTTTTATCTATGTTAAATAAATATATGTCCACATGGATAATTGGCGTTGTTAGTTAATTAAATGTTAATCGGGAAAGATTAATAATGAGATGACAAAGAGATCGCATACTTCGAATCACCATGTTTCAGTGATTCCAATGCGTGCAATCTTCTAAAGATATGCAGTTTAAAGAATTGTATGTACTATTTACGCTGATGAGTTACGTACTATCAAGTTCTACGAAACTCTAGTAATAGTTGAAATGCTTAAAATAAATCCTTCATAAATACATAGGTATAACATATGTATCCAACCGTGTGTTGAAATTTTCACAAATTAAACGATAACCGATTATATTTTATTATTCAATTATTAATTGAAGTCAAAACGCTACCGGCAAATTGATCATTAAATCGATTTTTAATGATACATTAATCTAACAACTCTTAATCACATTCTATTTAATGGTTAAACTATACGTATACGTCATAAATTACATTTTACACATACGTAATTGTTTGTGCATTTAAATGTACGAACGATACGAGTGTTCCGTGTGTTGAAAAAAAAAAA